CAAACATCAGCTGTGATTTAAGCTGCACCGTCATTAAGTTGTGAATCGTTAAAAGCTCAAAACTACCCCAACATTCACGCCGCCGAGGCAACGGCAGCTTTTAACTATGTTTATCATGAACATCTGACTGGATGAAAGTTTGAAAGATTTTAAGGTGTCACAGTCTCAGGCAGAAGTTTAGGAGGCTGCTGTGTTTCCCACTGACACCAGTCTGACATCATCAGTGAGTCATTTCTGACCAGGACGTGATCTTTAACTGCTTCTTTCATCTGATCAACATCTCTAAAGTTAGAAATATCCTGTCTCAGAGTGACGCTGAAAAACTAGTTCATGCATTTGTTACTTCCAGGCTGGACGACTGTAATTCATTATTACCAGGATCCCTGTTAAACCCAGAATTTAAAATCCTGCTCCTCACATACAAGGTCCTAAATAATAATAATAACCTTATAGTACCATTAAAACTGCTGAAAGTGAGGAGCATGGTGCCAAAATATGAAACACACTGAAGGTAAAAAAATGATCTCTCACTCTGGACTCTGTCACGTTTTATTCTGAAAGGGTTCCCTCTGCACCTCCGAGTTTACATTGTTTACACTTTTATTGTGAAAGGCAGGAACTGGAAGAATCCCTTTTCGCACATGCGCAGAGCACACCGGGCTTTCCGGATGGACGGCGCAGAGGAGTTAGCATTAGCTTTAGCTTCACTGAAGTTTAATCTCACGTCTTTCGCTCAGCTGCATCAAAAATGTCTTCCCTTCAACTTCCGGCTGAGTTTGTCACCGAGGCCGTGACTGCTGACGGAGGAGGAGGAGAAGCAGGAGGTGGCAGAGAGTTTGAACAACGCACCGAGGAGGAGATGGACCGCGAGCGCAGGCGCAGACTGCCGGACGTCACCTGCAAACTTGACAGGCAGCCGCACCGGACAGGTGAGCAAAACCGGAAACGATCAGAGAGACAACGAGAGGAAAGAAAGCGGGTGATCTGCGTCATAAAGGATTCCCCACAGGTGCGATGTTAAATCTGAGCTCACCTGTTTAATGTTTCCGGTTTAACTGGCGGCAGCTGGGTCATAAAAGCCGATTCAGCTTTTACGCGGTTTGACGACCGTGTTTCGGCTCATGAACTCGTTTATTGTCGTTTTCTCGGCTCCTCGTGAAACCTTCAGCTCACTGAACGGGACATTTCCCTCCAGGACAGATCCACAGCAGCCGTGTTTCTCTCTCCAGCTGTGAACATCTGTGTGACGGATCCACGAGCAGGAGCTGGTACCTGGCTGTTTGATTACAGAAGTGCATTGTGGGTAAACTGTGGTGGAAATTCTACAGTAAAATAAAAGTCAATTTTTTCCGCATTAAATTCAGAAAAAGGGAGCGTGTGCAGGTAAACAGGTGTGTGTCACAGGCAGGAGCCAATCAGAGCTCAGTGTGACTGCGAGTCTTGCTGTCGTGGTCATTATGTGGACGTCCTGCGTCAGCTTTTGCGGCCATACGCCTAAATGTTGCCATAGTTACTTTTAATTGGAAGCTCAGTATTGCTGCTTGGATCAGCTGATGCTGTCCTCCAATCGTGCGCTGCCTTTGTTTAAACAACAGAATCCCTTCCAGGGGCGGAGCTGCTTGACACCTGGTTGCCAGTGATGGTGGTTAAATTCCCATAATTCCCAGTTCTGCTTCCACCAAAGAGTCACACGAACACTGTACAGCCAACAACAGCTGGATTTAGTCTGCCTCACTATTCAGTCCAGCTGTTCACTGTAAACGTCCACCATCGGGTCAGGCTTCCAGATGTTCTCTTCCTTAGAGACATGAATAAACAGGGTCACCTTCTAGCTTCCAGCTGTGCTCTCTCTTCACCGCTACAGTCTGCTGGTCCACCACTGAATGCACCTGAGGGTCTGCAGGGTTGGATCCAGACTCCCTGGAAGCATCTGTGGTGGACAGGAGAGCCTGTTCAGATCCACACGAGCACTTTTTGCGTCGAAGAGCAACCTGGGGTTTAGACTGGATGACCTGCTCTACCTCCTGAGCTACAGGTGGGACTTTACCCAGCTGGTCTGCGTCTTCCTCGTGGACTTGGACAAGCAGTGAGCTCTTCAGCTGCATTTCCAGCAGCAAATCAGACTTTTTGCTGCTGATTGTTGGATCAGCAACAAGGTTTCTCACCTGTGTGGGGGGGTGAAGGAGTCCTCTCTGGAGGTCTCAGGGTCGAGTAATGACCTCTAGCATCCACTGTGATGGCTTGCAGAGTGTGACGTAGTCCCACCTGAGGCCACGGTTGTGATGGACGGCGATGATGATGAT